CGAGAGGCATCGACAAGGCCTGATGACGTTGACAGCAGACCAGGTGCGGCAGCAAGAGAGGCTAGTGGAGATGATCTTCACTCTGCGCTTGGTAGGTCTTCGGCAAAGGACGCGGTAGCGCCTCTGACGGCCTCCAAGGCAATGGCAAAGAAGCCTGAAGGCGGTGAGATCAGGTTGCAGTCGGCTGAGCGCACTGCGGCGAGCCCGGTGGAGGGTCACTTCCTGGTGCTGCCTGAGAGTTCGGTGGTGGACGCTCTCTTGTCAGTCTCCACCAACAGAGTGCTGAACAAGCAAGTCAGGGATTTCATCAGAAATGGTGAGGACGCGTCAGCACTGGAGGCTCTCAACCAGATCGTGACGAACTCTCGCTCTGGGGGAGGAGGCGTAGGGAATCGGACGTTTCCCGCACTCCTTCTCGGAGGTCCGTTAGGACCGTGGACACCAGGGATTCCAGAGAGTCGAGAAGGCGCAGATACCGTCCGCGGCGCGAGGATGATCGCGACCGGAGGAGGGACGATGCTCGTGATCGTCGTGATGGTGATTCACTTGATCGGGAGCGAGAACGAAGGCGAGATGATCGCAGGAGATCCGAAAGGGATCGTGATAGGGACCGTGCGCGGGGCGGACGTGACCGGAGGAGACGTGACGATAGCCGATAGGCTGAGTCACGAGGATTGCGGCCGATAGGCTTGCGTCCATTCTCCAATGGTCGGCGCGGTGCGGAGGTGGTAATGTTCCTCCCGAACCGCTGAGGCGCGGAGATCATGTCTCTCCCATACCGCTGCTGGGCTGCTGGTCGTGTTCATCAGGAAGCAGTGTGAGTGAGAGGGAAAGCAAACTGATGGGGGGTTACTCCCGGGTTTGCGGAATTCAAGCATTTTTCAGGTACGCATGGTCAGGAGTACCTCTTGCCGATAGGCGAGGGTACTAATGGACATACGTTATCTTTTATTTCATGGCTTCTGATAAGAATTAAACTTCTTGCATTGTTGATGCAAGCAGTTGTGGCATAGTGTCGTCACGTGGACTTTTCCACAAGGTATGTTGGACAGCGTTACCCCGATTAATTTGGGTGGTGGCGGGAATTTAATGCCCGGGATGTCGCGCAACTGCCTTTGTGGGTTTGCTCCACCGCTGACGGCGGTAGTGTCCAGCTGTTTGCGGACGCATGCGAGCAGTTAAATCCTATCAGTAAATGGCACGCTCCACCCGTCATATGACGGGCTCCTCGTAAGGGGGGTGTGATTAGCCATGATTCATTTCATCAACAGGGATGTCGCGGTAGTGACTGACCTGCGATGTTTGGTTCAAGTTTGCGGGTCCGTCGCGCCTCGGATGAGCGTCGCCGGGTCCCCGCGTCGATCACCTTCGTGTCGGAAAGAGACATCGGCCCGGGGCAGATTGGTGGGGTCCGCCCGTGCGGTTCATCGTCGACCAAGGTTGCAGGTACTTGTTCACTTGTTTTGGTATTTCCCTTTTGGTTGTTGTTCTCTGGTGTGTGGGAAACCCTGATCTTTGGGACCGGGGATTGGTTTGCTTTTGGGGAACCTTTCTTTTGTGGCTTGTTTACCCCAACTTACCCATTGCCTGGGCACAGGCTCGTGCCCGAATCACACAGAGTTTCAGAGTCCACAGAAAGTTGAATTCGTAGTCAAGCATGTGATTTGAGGTCCGGTGGGGAGCGGCAACGCGTGGCTTTGGCCCGTGGCGCCGGCGATTTCGATCTCGCGAATCGAAGGCGGTTTCAGTGGCCGGTGGTGCCAGGCGCACTGATCCGGGACGCCCCGGTGCTGCTTCTGGACGAGCCGACGCCGGGGGCCCGGGAAGTCATTTTGTTTGAAAAAAGTGAGATGCGGAAAGCCGAAAGCTCTCCGCTTAGGTCTGGCTTGGACGCAAACACTGCAGCCAGCCTGGCGCAGGCGTTGAGACGTCAGAGTCACAAGCAGTCCCCCTTTTCCGCGTCCTGCACTTGCACTGTCGTCCCTTATCATGGCTTTGCATTTGTTTTTTTACTCTCCAATACGATCCGACTTTGCGAAGGCAGTTCTTGGACGATCTGCCCGCCCGACAATGCTGATTGCCACACACAGTCTTGCACTCATCAGGACAGTAGTGCATGAGGAGTCAAGACATGCAAGGGGCGCGTCAGGAGCTGCGACACTGTGGCAGTTGTCTCCGAGGGACGCGTCGTGCAGCGAGGCGGAATTCAGATGCAGGAGCGACTTTCCCAAGCTCTGTGCCCAGGTACATACAAGGCGCTCATGGACGATGCCTCCGGGCACTTGGCACAAATCGCAAGGCCTAAGTCGTGAGGATAGTCGTGGAAACCCGATTGGGTTTTCGGGACTCACGTGAGTTTCGGCTTGTGCACGGTGCACGATGCCAGGTCTGGGGAGCTGCAAGAGACGTAAAGCGTCGAGCTTCGGCTTTGGCTTTGCATCCTGTTGGCATGAATGCACAAGGCCTTCGTGCTGACGTGCCTCAGTCGGCACTGTCACCCCACTTGTGTGGAGAAAATGCCGTTCCAGTAAGGGGCCGTGCAGCTTGGAAGGTCATGTTCAGGCCCTGTAATTGGGCGGGACTTGCACATTTATAGTGGTGTTCCATGAGCCAAACTTCCTGAAATTTGCCAAAGCCATTTCGGCTAACAAATGGCGGTCGCACCACATCGGGATTGCGGGTCACAGACGGATGGTTTGGTGGCATGCGAATCGTCGCTGCGCCATATGCTTGGTTGTGCTTTTGTCAGTGTACTGCCTTTACATGAACGGTAGCATGCTGACATCATACCGCGGAGGCGTCTGGAGAGCATATCTCATGCCGACAGAGGATGTGTGGGACTCAATTCACAAGCACGGAACAAGCGCCATGGGCGGCATTTGGGGTTACAACCAGTCCAAGCTGGAAAGTTCCAAGATGATGATGTATCTTTTTGAGAAGCCGTATGAGTCCATTTGGGATGTGTCGTGCAATGTTGGCTTTATGCTATCCAGTCTGCTGAAAAGGCATCCAAATGCTCAGCACTACGGCACTGACATCAGTAATGTCATGGTGGAAACAACGAGGCAGAACTGTCCCAGCTGTGTTGCAGCACAGTTCGATTTGGGGAGCCTCAGATACTCCGGGATCTCGCCCAAAGACGTGGTACACGAAGCTTGGCATCGAGAAGACATGCCGAAGTCCTTCGATGTGATCCTAGTCTCGGATGTGTTGCTCTTCGTACGCTGGGGAGGCATTCCTCCGGTTCTGCTGCGATGCACTTGCTGCTGCGAGATGTTCCGCCGCTGGGCGGTGCCATCCCAACGCACCTTCATGGAGAATTTGGCCAGTCTGGCACGGGATGAAGTGGTCTTCTCCTACAACCAGGGCAACATCATTGTGCGGACAATGATGCGAGAGTTAGGCGTGAAATGGGATGCAAACCATGAGGTTTGGAGGGTCCCGGGCACTGCGGGCACTGCGGGCACGGGCAACGTCACACTCTGATTGTGCACTTAGGACTCGGAGCAGAAACTAGCCAGGCAACAGTCAGGCCCATATTCCGGCACCCGAGTTGCAAAACGGCAGACCTCATGCACTTGGAGAGAGAAGCGAAGAAGCGAACGAGCTCCCAAGCAGAAGATGTTTGATTGTGTTCCCCAGCATAAGTTGATGTGGTTGTCAACGCATTGAAAGCGCCAAAGTCGCGCACTGACTGTTTGCTTGAGGGCTTGCAGCTAGAAAAGGAGCTTCAGAGGCAATGAGGGGAGGTTGTGAATACACACAAGTCAGGGCGATTCATGAGAGCTGCTGGCAATCAAACACATTTGACAGGGTGAAGCAGAAAACACATGGTGCATCCGCAATTGTAGGTTGGAATGCTGCCAGAACGCAAGACACGAGCAGGATGACACGTACAGTCCATCGGATGTAACTGTTTGTATAACGTCGAATCGATTTGTCTTCTCGGATTGGCCAGTTTGTGCACTTTGCTACTATCTGGGCGGTTGAGCCGGCGCAATGCGGCATGTCTTGGTGCAACATCCTTGTGGTATCTTCTGAGTTTTGGCGATCGCTTGGTCTGGCGAGGTGTTTGGAGGGCCTTTCTGCCAACGCCAGTCTGGAACTCCACCGGCTGGGCCCAGAAGCGACTGGAGAAAACAGACACTTTCGGGTACTTGTGTGGCAAAGGGTACAAATGTATAGAGCGTGGCTTAGCAGGCAGTGTGTGTCTGTGTGTGTGTGTGTGGCATGAGTGCGTGCTTGACGGTGTGCTTGAATATCTGGAGCGTGGCTTAGCAGGCTTACCACCTCAAACACGGTGAGAAATGGATCGGACAATTCCCCAAAGTGTTGGGACACATCATGGACAAAAGGCCGGCCGATAGAGAATGCGTCATCATGGGAAAATGCCACTACAAATCAAGCACGCCCGCGCCAGCATTTTATACGCAGACATAGTGTCATTAACAGTACATGGTTGCTGAACCTACGTCTCCAACTCGTCTTGCGCCTTGTTGGCCTGCTCAAGCTTTGTCAGGTGTGTCTTGGCCAGATCTCTCTCTTGCACCAATTCAGTGGGACATCGCAATCCTTTTCGGCGTTGCGCGCATCACTCAGCTCTTGGCGTCCTGGCACGCTGGTAATATTCTTTCTAAAACCCAAAAATATTTAATACCCTCCATATCTTGCACAAAAGATACACCCCATGCGCTTTGCGATCCTCTCCTCTCGTTCGTAATGGTTGCTGAACGCCTTGTTCTCTTGACACGGTACGTTTGTAGACACGTATGAGTACATACTTGCAGATTGGGCATCCTACACATGTGTTAGAGTTCTCGCTTCTTGACCCTTTGCGTAATCGATTTTGCTGTAGCCCTTGTGGCCGGCGAAAAGGATGCGCATTCCTTGGCGAAAAGGTCCTTTCAAGCACCCCGCAAGCACCCAAAGGCGGCACGGGCGCGAGCGCGAGATAGCAATCATTTCAGTTTGCGAATGAGCTTGCAATCAAAACCGCAATGAAGCTGCCGTGGCGAGGGCTCGAGAAGCCAAAAGTTGCGGCGCGCGCGGCCTAGCGCCTATTTTGACACGCCCGAGCGATGGCATTCCGTGCAGTCCGGTTCTCAGCCTCCCCAATCTCGCCACGCCTTGACCATGACCCCAATGTTGACCATGTTTTCGCTTGAGAAGGCGTCGGGTTTTGACTCAAGCGAAAACCCACTTTCCGAGTCTCTCGGACTTGGCCCCAAGGCGCGGCCCCTGCGCTTCCGCCTGACACGGCTGCTGCGTGCCGGTGGCGCGGAGGATGCCAAGCCCCGGTGGACTCTGCCGGAGGCGATGCAAGACAAGTCTTTTGGGGAACGAGCTCCAAAAACGCAAAGAGCTCGCTGCGACGTCAGAGTCAGTCCGAAAGTTGTGCGCTAGATTGCACGGGCAGGCTGATTATCACAAGTACACCTACCAGCCATCCATTCCAGACAAGCACTTCAACATCGGGCACTGGAACTATGCCGGGCACTAAGCATGCTTTGGAGCGACACTCAAGTTCCCGCGCTTTCACTTACGAAGTCTTCTTTTTGGGCTTTGTTCCGGCGCTCCTTTGAGCTTTACTCGTGAGTTTTCAAATTTTCTGAGGCACCGATCACACTTTGGCTCCGTGCGCGCCGCCCCGCCATGGAGCGCGTGCTCGGGGACGTCTACAGCACTCTGGTGGCGACGGGCACGGCGGTGTCACCAATCTCTGTGCGGATCCCAGTCCCACCCGTTGAATCGAGAAGCATCTCCGGTTTTCGGGGAGTGGAAGCATCGGGGACTCTCTTGCGGTGATAGAGATCGAAGGGGTATTTGTGTTGCGCCTCGCGCCAGGCCAACATCCATTCGAACCTTCCGGGATTTGGCTACAAAGTCCTCGGCCTTGTAGGCACGGCAGACAGCTGTTGCTGTTGACGATGTTCATCGCCGACCCTGCAGGTGCTCTCATTGGCTACAACCTGGCTGCAACTTGCTTTAAAGACAATCCCAAGCGCCCGTTGTCCGACATGAGAGAGCTCCATGTGGTTTCTCCCAAGCCTCAACAATGTCGCATCGTAAAACCACTTCTTGTCGTCCAAGTGGTTGAAGCTGGGTGTGGCCTAGGTGATGTATGTGACTTCTCGAACAGAGGCCATGCACTTGAAGCTTACAAGGCAATCGGTTGCTTCCGCCAGGCATGGATGTTTCTTGAGAAGGTTCGCCTCTATGCTCTGGGTGATGAGCCCTTCGGAAACATGCGAAGCTTTCACACACACACACACACACACGCTGAGTTCATGGAGCGGGTGGGTGGGTGGGTGGGTGGGTGGGTGGGTGCGGTGGGCAATCAATTCTGTTGGCCCACTGATCGCACAGCCCAGGCTCGTGAAGAAGGGCTTTTTCATGTCGGATGCGGAGGCGCGGGCAAAAGAAAGGCAAGCCTAGTTCATCCTAGAATTGGCGAGGAGGCCCACAGCCGTCAGCACAAGTTCGACCACGAGGTGGAGAGGCTGAATCATTTGTGGGAGGAGGCGTGAAGTGGCGCAATGGGCAGACCAACGACCGGGAAATCAAATGTTCGAGGCCCTGGCGGATGCAACACAGGCGCGCTCCTTCGAGAAGTCAGGGACCAAGAATGGCAGACACTTTTTTGTTTCTTCTTCCGGCAGTATCGACTTTGATAAGGCTTTGCGAGCATTTGGCCGTGGACCCCGAGCAGTTGCCAGTGACGGAGATTCCCAAGCCGCGTCCTGAGCAAGTCGCATTCGCGGACGTCAGAGTTTGCAGAGTCGGCGCGCGGTTCGCCATCATTTTGCCTTCGGGAGAGGCCCATCTCCTGGCGATTCAGCCTCATGCCGCAGCTCCGCTTGAAATTGGCGGTGAGAGTCGCGAGTTGGGCCAAACAGCCCAGGTATGGCCGGGACGACCCTGATGCCAAGACTTTCAGCTTTGCCCCAGTGGACAGTCCTGCCGCCGTCATCTTAAAGTCTTAGCTCCCCATTTGGCCAGTATGCGCTGAAGCCAAGGCCAGCAATTACTTCCTCCTTGACGCCGGCAACTCTGGAGACTATATTGACCGTCAGGACTGTGCTTTCATAGCTTTCTGTGCCCTCGCTTTGCTCTAGAAAGCGCGCATCAGGACAACAAGCCGAACCCTATCCGAAAGGGGCGCCACATGTACACCGCAGCCTACATGCCTCCGACGAAGTGAGCGCTACGTCTCGCTGAGTTTTTATCGGTGTATGGAAAATCCAATCTCCTGTGGTATTTTGTCAGAAGCATATTCTTGGTTGGGTGGTGGCATCAAAGCCATGTGTTGAAGCAGCGCAGCTGGAGATGTATTCATTCGGATAGCTCTGCTCGCAGAGCCGGAAAACTCACTTGGTGTGGTTTGCCGGTGCCACTTGGAATCCAGCCATGGTGCCACTTGATATCCAGCCTTGGATTCCAAGTGCAATTTGTCACCTGGTGCCATTTCACGAGGCCGCACTTGGCTCAGGTTAGCTTTGCATGGAGCAGGAACAACATGCAGTGGCCATAGGAAGGCGGAACAAAGGTAGGGTCCGTGACGTGGCATGGCGCATTCGCGCCAGGGTCCTAGTCAAGGAAGGAAACCAATATGCTGAGCGCCGTTCAAGACGGCCAGGAGCGCAAAGTCTGGACAGGGCGGCTGGCGTGGCAACGCCGCAACCATAGAGAGGAGCGCGTGGCGCGTTGAGTGATTGGACTTTGCTCGATTGCAATCGAGGTCACGTCTGGACACCCCAGGCCGGCGGCGTGGAGATGCCACGTGCTGAGTGTGCGACGTCGAGCGAGTGAGACTTTCACTCGACTCGACTCGAGGTGTTCTACCAGCGCGAGGACCCGGCTGCCAGGGCCCAACTCGGCCCCAACCGCCCGGTCGACCTCTGAACCGAGGCGCGACCGCGTGCCGGCGCCGCCGCAAGGGAGGTGATGGCGGGCGCTCCGCTCCGCGAAGGCGGGAGGTCGGCGATGCAACTCAAAGTGAAAAACTCATGTTCAGAAGAGAGCACGCCCTCAGTGCGAGTCAGTGGTCAAGAGACCAACTTTGGGATAAACCGAAGAAAGAGAAAAAAAGAAAGAGAGAGAACGGCCTGTGTAGATCCTCCCACTGAATGAATGTGGTGGCTTGAATCCATCGCCAACTTATGTTCGGTTATTTTTTCAAGATGCTGAGCTGGTACTGTCTGAGGCAAAGAAATGCTGCGCAGCCGAGTGGTTCACGTCACTTCAGGTTCCCATTTTGCCCGTGTTTTTGTTTGCTTCTTCCTAGCAACTGGACAGTGAGCTCGCTAAACCCAGCGCTGAAACTTCGCAGCTAAATCACGATGCACCATCTATGAGCCATGGATCAAGTGACTAGTTGTTTGTGACTTGAGCAAACTGTCCATTCGGGTATGTGATTAGGCAAGGCAATTCGCAGAAAACTTTCCGGATGTCCAGAAAGTCAGGAAGTGTAGGAAGTGCACTCTCACAGCAGGGACAATCTTACAGCAGAACAAAAACAGCAACACAATGTCATTCATTTTGCTCGCCAAGGGGCCGAACAAAGCGTAGTGTCAAGATTCGAGGATGACATCATCAATCTTCAGCTGCCTGCATGCTGCTGTTTTTCTCTCTGTCGAGAGCAATTTGCTGCGCCGTGCGCACTGGGGATACCTCTTTGCCATGAGCACTTTTCGTTCCGTGCAGATTCAGTCATTCTTGGATCTCAGATGTGGGCCCAGCTCGCGCACGTGCGGAGTCTGCACACGCAGGCACCGGACCAACAGACCGGCTGCAAAGACAGTAGGACACGCGGGCAGCCGGGAAGGCTTGACAAGGTGTAGAAGTAATGCACCGCTGTTTTGTGGCATATGTGAGAACGTACACGGGAATCATGTTTCGTGGGAGTGAAATGCCGTGTTCTGACGGAGGTGAAACAGTCCAATTGCCAGCTTGGCAGGCGCTATGCCTTCCCAGATGCAAGGCGAACAAGGGTGAGAGGGGTCGAGAGCGGGGTTGCAGCGAATCGGGGAATTGGATCTCTCAACCAAAGAGTTGAGGGAGCTCCCGACAAGAATACTGATTTAGACATCCACAGCAGTGAAACCCGACAAGCCGCAAGCAAAGGAAGAAATGGAAGGAAAGCGAAGAACACAAGAGAGGAAAAGGAAGGAGAAGATGGAGGTGGATGGGGCGGAGGAACGGACAAGAGAGCTGCGTCCCAGCTGTCCCAGCCATCCTCTAGGCTTTTCAGGGCCCCACAGACGTGCAAATTCATTCTCGAGGTTTGCTAGCTTCCGTGATCGGGCTTCAATATGCTTGGTTCTCTTCCGCGCTTTGCGCTGCGGGGATTATGTCCCCGTGCAATGCTTGCACCATGAGCATGGCTATTCATTTTAAGCAACTAACAAACTGTTGGACATGAATTGCCACCTCATCCCCCATTGAAATCCACGCCCGTAGCAGACGTCGGATTGGATCGCAGATGTGGGCCCTCGCGCACGCCCGGAAGCTGCACTCGGAGGTCGGATGTGGAGAAACGTCGGGCGAGGGCTGTGGCACCAAGCTCATCGATTTACTTGTCCCAATGCCTGAGCTGTGCAATGATTAACATCTAGAGTCTTTCTGGCAGGTGTGCCTCTCCAGTCGCCAGTAGGCGCTGACATGTCCTTGTTTTTTCACCTGGAATTTCGAGTGCACAGGCCCTCCAGCCGCGCCAGCCCGCGTGGCATGCCCAGCGAGTTGAAGGAGAGGAGTGTTCGCAGTCGCCCAGGATGCTTCGCCGCGCAGGCCTGGAGCGCCATATAGCGCGAGGCCCAAGCACGCATTTGTGCCAGGCTCCAGCCAGCCATGCCTTTGTGGCCTTTGTGGCCGGCCGACTTTGGAGGCTGTTCCCTTTGCAACTTCCCGGACAGTCACATGCGTAGTCCGCTCTGGCCGCTAGGCGAGAGATGCCAGTCTCAGCCCAGGTTGCGGGACACCAGTTCAGGCCCGAAGGCGTTTTCCCGGGCCCGCAAGCGCGTCCGAGTGAGGCAGGCTGCAAGCCACTGAGCCTGGATGTGCCACTTGGCACGTGTACCGTATTCTACCGTATTCAAGGTATTCTACCATATTTTGCCATAGCATTTTCGATTCAGGTCGAGCGCAGGGCGTGGCCAGGCCGGCGCCGCCTTTGGGAACGTGCGACGCTCTCACTCCGCGTATCGCAAGGCTGGAACCTGGCGCAGCCGCACACTCAGCGCGGCTCAGGGATGTGAGGGAAGGCGCGTCTCAGCTCAAAAGCTGCACCTCAGAACTCACTATTCCCAGGTCCGCTTCCCTGCGTTTCTGGACTTTAGACTTTTCGGCGACCCATTTAGTGGTAAGCCACAAGTTGAGACCTTTTCTGGCTCGTCTCAGGAAGTGAGTCTAATGATGGGTGGTTCGACCTGGCTATGTGGAGCTTTCGCACGCCTGAGGCCCATACAGGCGTCGGTGCGTTTTCACCGCTCGGCGGGCTATCTTGCGGGAGACAAGATCTCGCAGGCACTGGAGTGCAATGCAAAGGAGTGCAACGGAGAGCGGAGGGAGCGAAGGGAGCGGAGGGAGCGCTTGCGCCAGGCTCGCGCCAGCATTGCAGCCAGGCGCGAAATGCGGAGGTGACTCAGTGACACGCCGTTTCACAGCTTCACGTTTTGCACATCCGTTCTGACAGCGGCGCCCATGTCCAACCCTAGATCTCTTTGCACCCATGGCTGTTAGCGTCGTGCCGGAGCAGCGCCTCTTTGCGGCTTGTCGCGAATGGCCCCATTTTGAGCTTAGATGGAAATCCTCTCGGATGCTTCCAGGTCAGCGAGCCTAACCCCCGGTGGTTTGGCAACGATGGCAACCCTCAGGATCACGAGGCGCAGGCAGGAAGTACTTGAAACGCCCAGAAGCCTTTGGCCATTCATCTAAAGCCATCATGGAATGTTGATTTTATTTATCCTGCTGATGCGCAGCCGGCCATGTTTAAAGGAAGCAGTCAGCGCCTCGTATGTGAGCATGAGTGTGTTGTGCAGCTCCTCTATGAACAAGTTGAGCCTGGTGCTAACTTGATTTTTGAAAACAATCAGCCATGCACAGTTGCTCAGGTAAAACGGACTTCCGACAGCTGGCAGAGTTTTGCAAACCCAGCAGGAAGGACACCAGTTTGGCTGGAGTCAAGGCCAAGATCTGGACATTCTCAACTTTGGAAGGAGAATCGGACACACCCCCGATATCAACGGGGGACCCCAAGAGTCTAAGCTTTGCCAAGGCTGAGAACCTAAGAAAGCGATATACAGTCACAGCCTTATGGAAGGCAGGCGCAATTGTAGGTAGACAGAAGCAAATGGCTGCAAATGGACCTGGAAAGGTCCGCGAGTTTGAGTCTCAGTGTTGGGATGCTTTCAAATTAGGTGTTGCGCGATTCTAGAGGCCCATGTGCCAGCAATCCGCAGCACGCATTCCGGCAGCAGCCCGAGAACTGGCTTTAGCGCCGCGCTCCTGGTTTGGAAGCTTGTCAGTCTTGCTGACGCCACCGTCTTCTGGCCGGGGCATCATGGTGTCGCTCACCTCTGCTCTTCTTTGAGAAGTAAGCGCGGACCCTATCTACTTGCTAAGTGGTTTGCGACCGCCGCTCGTATAGGGCTTGCTGCGTTTTGCTTGGAGTAGGGCCGCCCTGCGCCCTAGGAAGAATTTGTTTGAAAGAGTAGTGGCGTTTAGTGTTCCAGCTCAAGCAAGCAAATCGTCGCAGCGCCATGCTGAGGGGCACGAGCTTTGCGTCGTAAGCAAGGCGCAACAGAACTCAGCTGGGCCCCCGTGACCACTTCCTGCTCCGACCAAGATTCAAGTCGATCCACACCACCCCGTGGCGATCGTGGGTTCTGAGATACATGGATCCCGCACAAAGCATGCAAAATGCTGGCAAAGCTGGTTGACCCAGAGCAATCGGAGCAATGCGTTGCTATCCACTGCGTCAGACCGATGGCCGCAGGCTTTCGAAAATTCCACAGCAGGGGAGCGCTGACGCCATGTGTGGGAGAGAGCCAGCTGATTCATCAAGGGACTGTGCCGCCCAGCAGTGCCAGCGCCCCAGCGTTTCCGACATCGTTGGAAGCGGGGCCGGGCTGCGATTTAGATACCTAAGTGTTGCAAAGAAGGCCGCCGGCGTCGCGAGGAACTAGCTGAAATGGAAGGGCGACGAGTGTCGGATTCGTTGCTGTCGGGATCACAGAATCACAGAGGTGAGAACAGGGGTGCCTCTAAATATTTTGAGCGCAGCAAACAGATAGCAAGCAGCTCGCCTTAGCGTATGCGCTCATTGTGCTCCAAGGATTCGCGATGCTGTTGATGCCAGTGTGTAGATCGAGTCCGCACGACAAATTTGCTAATTCGTCAGAGCGAAAATCAGCCAGACTTTATGCTGGTGATGCTGGCGATGCCGGTGATGCGCTCCGTAGATCGAGACGACGGGTGTCCGTGCGACGAATGAGTGTAATTCGACAGAGCGAACACGCTGCTTGGTGTAACTATCAGACGCTGCTACTGCGCCGCTCCTACCAGTCCTGGAAAAGCCTTGGCTAGTTCCCAGCCCCAAGCGTTTTCAGGGGTCACTTGTTCTTACGCCCGGCGGGCATAAGAACAAGTGGGGGCCAGCCGGAACAAGTGACCTGGTCACTTGTTCGCTAAAGCGCCTACTTGTTCTTAAGCCCGCCCGGCGTAAGAACAAGTGACCCCTGACGCAACAATGGCATTCCCTTTGCAAGCTTAGCCGCGGGAAAAAAGGCAGCCGCTGATAAAAGACAAACTAGAAACTCTATTGCAGAAAGCCCAAATCACTAAAAAATGCAGCCCGACCAAGCAAGCCAGTGACAGGCCCAGGAAAATCTGTACAACAAATTGGCGCCCACACAACAACCAAATTAGAAGCCCTAGTTACAAAGCCCCACTTCACGAGAATTATCAGACCAGTAGGTCAGTGCCAGGTTTGAAAAAATCCAGCTGCGCAAAATGAAGCCCTAGTTAAGAAGCCCCGCGCGAACATCATCAGCCGGACAAGTAGGCCAGTGACAGGCCCTAGAAAAATCCAGCGCTCTGCTAAACACTCCCACTTCACGAGAATCATCAGCCAGACAAGTAGGCCAGTGCCAGGCCCTGAAAACAATCCAGCTGCACAAACAAAACCGCGAACAAAATAGACGCTCTACGTAAACAAAAAACTTCACGAAAATCATCAGCCCAACAAGTAAGCCAGTGACAGGCCCTGACAAAAATCCAGCTGCGCAAAAGACCGGCAGCCACACGCAACAAGCAACTTCGGGACTGAACAAACCACTTGACGAAAAGGCCAGTGACAGGAAACAAAGGCGGCAGCCACAGACAACAAGCAACTCAGAGGCTCTAGTAAAAACATCCAACTTCACGAAAAGCAGCCACCCGACCAAGTAGGCCGTGACAGGCCCTGAGAAATATCCAGCTGGACAAAGAAAGGCGGGAACACAGACAACATGCAAATTAGAAGTGCTTCTCAACACATCCTGCTTCAGGAAAAGGAGCAGCCCGACCAAGAAGGCCAGTGACAGGCCCTGAACAACATCAATCTGCACAAAAGAAAGGCAGCCACACACAAGCGAATTCGCTGCTCTACCGTGACGAAAAGCAGCAGCAAGACCAAGCAGCCCAGTGACAGCCCCTGAAAAAAATCAGAAATCAGGCCGCGCAAAAAAGGGCGGCAGCCACGCAACAAACCAGGAAGCGCGGCGAAAACATCCCACTTGCAAAAAGACCAAGAGACCAGAAGAGCGGTCAGGCCCCGACCTTGCCGGCGGTCGGGCCCCGACCCCGTTGGCGGTCGGGCCCCGACCCCGTCGGCGGTGGGGCCATGACCCCCTCGGCGGTCGCCCCTTCAATGGTTCTAGTTTGCTTGTTGTCTGTAGCTGCCGCCGTGTTTTCGCAGCTAGCTTTCGTTTAGGGCCTGTCACTGGCTCGGGCTGATGGTTTTCGTGAAGTGTGATGCTTCTAGTAGGGCTTCCAATCTGCTTGTTGTCTGTGGCTGCCTTTTTTGTGAAGTTGTTTTTCAGGGCCTGCTAGTTGTCTGCTTGGTCGGGCTGCTGCTCTTCGTCAAGTGGGATGTTTTTAGTAGGGTTTCTGATTTGTTTTTGTGCGCGGCTTGTTTTCAGGTCCTGTCGCTGGTCTGCTTGTTCGGGCAGCTTTTTTTTCGTCAAATATTTTTTGGCAAGTAGAGCCTCTAATTCGCTTGCTGTGTGTCGCTGCGCTTTGTGTTTTTGCAGTTTGTTTTTGTTTCGGGCCTGTCGCTAACCCACTTGATTGTTTCTTGATTGTTTTTTTTTGTGCGGTTAGATTTCTTTCGCCTGTTCCTAGTCTGCTTGGTCGGGTTGCTGCTTTCTTAAAATGGTATTCTTGCGTAGGGCGTCCAATTTGCTTGTTGTGTGTGGCTGCCGTTTTTTTGCCCAGCTTGTTTTTCTTTCAGGGCCTACTTGTCGGGCTGATCATCTGCGTGAAGTGGGGCGTCTTTCAGGAGGGCTCCTAATTTGCTTGTGTGCGGGCGCCGTGTTTTTTGCGCCTTTTTTTCAGGTTCTGCCATGGGCCTGCTTCACTTTGGTCTTTTGCTGATGTTTGGGGCTAAACCCGGCAAAAGCGGATGTTTATGTATATTGGAGGGGGGGTGCGGTAGGATTGTGGCCGCAGCTTAAATGTATATGTGGAGGTCCCCCCTCCCCCCTACATAGGGGTCCCTCGATATCAAGCAGTACTCAAACATGCACAAACGTAAACACCTGCGTATTCCGGTAAGAACCAGAGCTCCAGAACCACGGCGAGACATCTCTACCTCCGAGCCTTCATAGGATCTGTTCCCAAGAAGGGGTCACAGGATTTTCTAGCAGAGCTTTGGAATGAAGCGGCACCGCTCGCTCGAAGCCGCTATCGCAGCTTCTTCAACAGTAAACACAAGGGCCGTAACAGCTTTCACAACCACTGGGCTTTGGGCTTGGGGCTTGTAGCTTGTATCTACCCCTGTGGATCAGGGGTGGACCAACAAGAACTGGCTCAAGTCCCGCTTCCACTTCAGCTTTGCCGAGTACTCCGGCCCCAGCAGCTTTGGTGTCCTCCGCGTCATGAACGATGACCTCGTGCAGGCGGAGCGCGGCTTCGGGGAGCATCCCCACCGCGACATGGAAATCATGACCTTCATTGTGGACGGCTACCTCACCCACAAGGCCAGTTTTTTTTGCGGGGCCAAACCGGGGAGCTCTTGCTCGTTATCTGAAGCTGGACTCTTTGCTTTGCCGTGGCAGGACTCCAAGGGCAACGAAGAAACACTCGGCCGCGGAAGTGTGCAGTTTATGACTGCTGGCACGGGCATCTACCACTCTGAGCACAACTTGGCCAAGGAACCGCTGCGCTTCATCCAGTGCTGGGTTGTGCAGCCCTCGTTTCAGGCTGAGGCATCAGGTTTCGGGCAGTCACAAGCACCCAGCGTTTGCTAAGTGCTTTGGCAGAAAACGCCGCTGCCCGTTTAAGGTTCCGCGCAAACGCAACCTGAAGCCCCACTATGGTTCTGCAGGGACAGCGGAGGCGGCAGCGCGCAAGGACCAATGGTTCCACTTGGCTTCTCGGAATGGGCACCGCGTTTTTTGAAGCATTCGCTTGCCCACTTCCATCCCCACGGAAGGCTCCCCTGCAGGTTGCCCAAATGGTCGCATTGCTCGTGCGCTAAACCTTGCCCCTGTCTCGTGCGCTAAACCTTGCGAGGTTTCGGATGAGATGAGCTCAGTGCAGACGCCTGTGAAGATCAACCAAGACTGCAACGTGTTTGTGACCGAGCTCTCTGCAAATGTGGCATCAAAGGTGCTCCCTATTGGCAAAGACCGGCAAGCTTACCTCCTGTGCATGGAGGGCGACGTGAAGCTGGCCGGCAAAGATTTGCACAGGCATGATGCAGCGGAGATCAAGGGGCCTATTGACTTGGACCTGCTGTCCGGCCCTGCAGGAGCCTATGTCCTAATCTTTGAGATGGCGCTTACAAGGGACACGCGAGGGTCTGCTTAAGCCCGCTTTAAATTGGATACCGCTTGTGCATGAGAATGAACTTCGATGCAGTGGGATGCAGTGGGCTGGTGAGCTGCCCTGGATACATGATGGGTAGCCCACGAACCGCTTTTTGTCAGCCGGAAGGTTGTACTTACATGGCCACCGTGTCGGCGGCGCCAAGATGGCACGTGTCGGTCTCACCCTTGTGCAGATGGCTTTCATTAGACTGAGGTGGGTGACTGGCCAAAACGCCGGGATTTGGCCGCGTGCAGCCTTTGAAAGAAATTCCGTGCACTTGTGAAATGGGCGAGGCGCGCAGAACGAGTTGGGCCAAGGCACCTCACCGTTTTGCAGACCGGAGCCCCGCGCTTCGCACGTTTGCAGGTCTCCGAAGCCAAAGCGCGCCTCGGAGCGAATGTCCGCACCGCCGCGCGGTGCCGGAAGCCAAGACCCAGTTTGTCAGCCGAGGCATCTCCACTTGCCTGAGAGAGCGGGGAGAAAAGATGCGTCCGTGTTGAAGTTGTGAAGCAAAAGTTCATCCCACAGTCTTGGAATTCCGGTTGGCTTTGGCTCGTAGCCACGAAGGCCCCTGAAGGCCAGGGGCCTTAGTGTCCAATGAAGCTGTTGCTGCTCGCCCTGGGCGTGGGTGCAATAAAGCTGGGATCCAGAGAGGACAGGAAGGACAGGGGAGACGCCAGCAACAAAACGAATGAAGCATGTGCAGGATCGGGCAAACTCCAGGTGGGCCTGGGCCTTGCTCTCACTTCCTGAAGCTCTGGGTTAAGTTGGAACTCCCTACGGATGAACTGTTCCTTTGCACCAGGTTTAAGCTCGCCAACGTGAAACGAAGATGGTGTGCGACCGGAATTCGGAATTCGGAATTCCTTGTAGCCTTGTCACTGATTCTGTTACGATTTTTGGGCTGTCCAGGCGTGCCCTGCCCACTGAGTGCCGTGGAACCAAAGTGGACAAGATCTTTGGCTGCGATTCCGTGGCCTTGGATCAGTGCGACAGCAAGTACACCTCCACAGGCACGGGGCCAAGGACAGCCAAGGGCAGAGGACAGCGAAACGAAGGCGAGTTTGAAAAGCGCTGAGGCCAAGGACAGTTCCTGCAATGTGGAGCAAGTGGCCCGAACTGCCTGGGCATAGGGCCATTCTGCCGCGAATACCTTGAGCTGGAGCTGGAGTATTTGCCTCTTGGCCGAATCGCCGAACAACCGTGAGACGGTCCATGTCAGAAATAAGGATCGTAGGAGGTGGCGGTGGTGGTGGATCGGGAGGTGGTGGAGCTGGCGGCTTACTCAAAGGCGTGGCGATACGCAGAAGTGCAAGGCTATTTATTTTATGCCTTCACATGGGTACGGGCAGGCATGCTCGCTTTAAACCGAGACAGAACGTGTCAAGGTGTGGGGCGAGCATTTTGTGCTTTGGAGGTGGATTGAATCGGTGAAGATTGAAACTTGCGGCCCATGCTGTTTCAATGCATGTGGCGTGTTTCGGTCCAGCAGGGAAGCTTTGCTTGAATATACATTGGACTGATTTGGCTCGGTCCTTCGCCTGACGCTAGACTGTACCGTGCTTATGTGTTGTTTCTGGACACATTGCTGCTTGGGCATGGCTTGGGTGTGTTGTCTAAGTTGTCTAGCTGTTGATGCTGCCCTCCAGGGACTGGTCTCAAGATGAAGCCCGGGGATAGCATACTCGCCGTGGTGGGCGCTGGCGGCGTTTCTGGCGGCGGCGGTGCAGGTACCCCAGCCACACTGCAGCCAATGAGCGGTTCTGAGTCGAAGCTCGGCGACATGCAGGCCCGCTTCACATTGAAACATGTGAGCAGTTTAACATAATCTTGGGATTTAGAGGACATTGACTGATCGTCAGGCGATGGGTGGTGGCCATGGTGGGGGCGGCATGGATAGCAAAGCCACTGCGGGGAATGGCGGGTCTGGCGGGGGCGGAGCCTTTGACGCCAACACGGTGACTCGCACCAGCGGCACCAGCGGCCAGGGCCACGGGGGTGGCCGCACTGACCGCAACTCCTATGGCGCAGGGGGCGGCGGTGGCGGAGCCGGCGGGGCTGGCAAGGACGCGGCTGCGATACACATGGCCGGAGCTGGGGGCGACGGCCTTGCAGTGGACATCACCGGAGAGAAGATTTGGTATGCTGGAGGCGGCGGTGGCGGTGTGAACCACAATGGCAACGTGCTTGTCACCAGCGCCGGTGGTCTTGGTGGACGAGGTGGAGGCGGAAAGGGTTCGGACTGGGCCAGCACAGGCAGTGCCAATTTCATGAAGTTTACCGGAACAGATGGTGCTCCCAACACTGGCGGTGGTGGTGGAGGGACAGATCCGGAAAGCCGAATTGCTGGGGATGGCGGCTCCGGCATGGTGGTGGTCCGGTACAAGGCCCCACAGCCCTACATGCTTGGTGGGTATGTGACCTCCAAGCTGGGCTACCAAATCCACACTTTCAAGAATGTGGGTTCAGAAAAGTTGGAGTACAGCCCAGGTATAGAGGCGGTGCAGATGCGATTCCTGGTTGTAGGTGGAGGCGGAGGCGCAGGATCGGGTGGCGGTGGAGGAGGAGGCGTGGTGCAGGGCCACATCTTCATGAAGAAGGGCGAGACGTGGACGGTGCAGGTTGGGGCTGGCGGCGCGTTCGGCCAAGGCGGTGCTGGCCATGCGGACGTGGCGGTCACGGCCTCCGCCGGCGAGGACTCCAAACTGGGCGCCCTGCTGGCCTTGGGTGGCGGGCACGGGGCTGACCGCCGGCGGGAGCCGGGGGCTGGGGCCTCTGGGGGCGGCGGCGGCTTCGACGACACCGAGAGCAAGCCGGGCCGCGGCTCGCCGGGCCAGGGGCACTTCGGCGGCCTCACGGACCGAGGCAGCTACGGCGCTGGAGGCGGCGGGGGAGGAGCGGGCAGCCCGGGCAGCACTTGTAGCGCGATCCACCTCGGGGGCAATGGCGGGGATGGCGTCAGCTCCGACATCACGGGCACGGAGAAGTGGTACGGCGGCGGCGGAGGAGGAGGAGTGAACCACAACGGTGACGTCTCAGTCAGCAATGGTGGCGGCACTGGCGGTCGTGGTGGTGGAGGGACTGGGTCTAACTGGGGCAGCACAAGCGCAAGCAACTTCAACAAGTTCACCGGCACTGATGGAGCGCCCAACACTGGCGGTGGAGGAGGCGGCACTGATCCGGAGTGCAAAGTTGCAGGGAAAGGTGGCTCTGGCATTGTGGTGGTCCGGTACACCAGCACTGTCCCCCTGCTTGATGGGGGGGTCATCACAGTGGTCGGGGGACCCTTGACTGCAAAGATGTCAGTGGCAACTCTATCACTCAGGGCGCCTCTTGGATTTCTTTGCTGGAGTGGTACGATGCGCTTGATCTTAAATTACATTGAGGATCATTGAGGCCTTTTCATAATCTAGCGCCCAATTTTGCTTCTGAGTGATCAAGGCATTTGGATGTTGGCAGTGTGTGTGTGTGTGTGTGTGTGTGTGTCTGTGTCTGTGTCTGTGTCTGTGTCTGTGTCTGTGTCTGTGTCTGTGTCTGTGTCTGTGTCTGTGTCTGTGTCTGTGTCTGTGTCTGTGTCTGTGTCTGTGTCTGTGTCTGTGTCTGTGTCTGTGTCTGTGTCTGTGTCTGCGTGCGTGCGTGCGTGCGTGCGTGCGTGTAGCACCAGTACTGAGGAGACCAGATTCACACCTTTACCAATACTGGCACGGACACCCTCTCGTATCCATAGCCAGCCATAGCCGGCAGCCAAGCTTTTGCAAAGCCAGAAAAGGTCAACAAAGCAAGAAGCAGTTGGCGCAGAGTCAGGGATCTTGGATCATCGACGCTTGGTCAGCCTTGTCAGTGCCATCTATCGACGATCTATGCTCGATAATTTGCCAGCCGTTTTTGTCAGCATGGCGACGCGAGTGCTGAGGCTCAGGCTCGAAATGCCGAAATGCCGAAATGCCAACGAGAATGGCGCCAGCACAGGCGAAGTGTGCTTTGAGACTTGCGAGGCGCCCAGCCTGGCAGCGCGCCCTGGCAACAGGCCGAGATGGGTCGACTCGGGTCCGAGATTCCGAGATGGAGACTGAGGCCGCAATGCTGGCTTTCTCTCGCGCTTGGCGGAGGCCTGGCTTGGGAGTTCCGCGTCGAGTTTGGAGCCCGATCGGATGCAGGAGCTGCAGGGCATGCGAGACGCTGGCACCTTCAAGGCAAGGATCGGGAGCTCGGGAGCTCGGGAGGTCCACAGGCAGGGAGGTGCGGGGCTGGGGCGCTGGGTGGGGCGCCCCCGGCATTTCCAGGTGGAGCGCGTCATTCAGAGTCCTCAGGGCGGCTCGGTGACTGTGGCTGGAGGGCCAGAGCCCGTTCAAAACGCGTAGCAAGACACAAGTTTCACATTTCCAGGTCGGGGCCTGTCCTCAACTTCTGCGCCAACAACTACCTGGGCCTCTCCAGCCACCCTGCGCTTGTCAAGGCGTGCGAGTTAGCACACCTGTTTTGTAGTTTGTGCTGGGTCCTTGCGAACCCGAACCCAAAGAACCCAAACCCGCATTGAGGACATCTTCCTTTCTTTGCTCATGCCGGAAAGCCGATGTCATGCCTTCCCATGCCCGTGAAAGTAGACTTCCGGCGGCCCTGAAGAAAATGAGCTTATGCATTCCTTCGACCAGAGTGCCCAGATCGACTCGCAACCGGAGCCAAACAGATGGCACTGTTGCTGGCACATGAGTTCGCTTCTTTGAGCTTGTTTGAGACAGCATGGACATGCAGGGGCACACAAAAGAGACACTAACCTTCCAGCCTGCGAAGAAGGAAGCGAGTTAGATGGAGTGCGCGCAGGTTTGTTTCATACTTTTGCCATGGCGAACGTTTGAACAGACTGGGATTTTAGCCTTGCTTTAGTTTGATTCTTCTGAAGGGTACTGGTTTGTTTTCTGCAAGAAACTCAAAACAAGCCCACCCCGAGAGTTTGCAACAAGCGTTTCAAAGTTGTTTAGAGAGTTTGCTTGTTTTGCGCACGTTTGGATTTGAAACTGCTGCCCATAAAGTTAGTTTTGAAGAAACTGACCACGGCTGTAAGCCAGACCTCAAGCTAGTGGCAATGCTTAAAACTCTTCCAAACAACTCTTGCTCCGACATCCCATGGAATCTGAGAGAATGCGCGTTTTCTCGTGCGCAGGCGGCTCAGGATACCCTGTCCTCTCATGGCTTTGGCCTCTCGTCGGTGCGCTTCATTTGCGGAACTCAGGAGGGATCAAGTCAGATCAGTCCATACTTGATACTGGTAAGCTTGCAAGTCCTGCAAGTACTGCAAGTCCTGCAAGTCCTGCAAGTACTGCAAGTCCTGCAAGTCCTGCAAGTACTGCAAGTACTGCAAGTCCTGCAAGTACTGCAAAGATCAAGCGGGTTCGAGTCACCAGGACCTTCACAAGGAGCTGGAGGCAGCTGCATTTGGCCTCACGCTCGGCGCAGTGCGATTCCAGTGCCTGAGGCCGCAATCAGCCAATTCCACGGCACGGAGGACACCATACTCTTCCCTTCCTGCTTCGATGCGAATGCAGGTCTCTTTGAGGACGGGACTGGGGGACTGGCCGGCTGGGTTCCTGGGTTCCGTTCCTGGGTTCCTGGGTTCGGGTGTTGCAGGCCTGCCTAGGTCCAGAGGATGCCGTCATCTCTGATGCGTCTCACCGGCATGGACTTGAGTGCGGTCGAGACGCAAGTTAAGACGGCAGGCTGAACCACGCATCCATCATCGATGGCATTCGGCTCTGCAAGGCACAGCGACACAGGCCCACGAGTTGAGCTCGCCCTTTCGCATGTTTGCAAAAGACGCGCGTTTTGCACGCATGTTTTGCATGTTTTGCACCCGGTTTTCGCGTTTGCATGTGCCCAAAGTAGATTCGGCCATTCGGCCAGGTACAATCACATGGACATGGCTCACCTTGAGGCGGGATGCGTGTTGAGCGTGGCAGTCACAAAGCGAAAGACCTGCCCCGTGGCCCCGTGGCCCCGTGAGTCAGGAGATCCTCAAGGATTGCGTTGCCAAAGGAACGCGTCAGCGCATGATTGTGACAGATGGAGCTTGGCGACCCAGAGCAAATAGCATGGCAACGTTGGGAAAGGAGTAATGAGTGCCTTGATGCTTGTTTGCAGCCTCTGCGAGGTGTTCTCCATGGATGGAGATATTGCGCCACTGCGTCTGGAGCCAAGCACTTTGCTCAAACGTTCTTGGAGGTTGTCTGAATTTGATGGAGTCCATGCCAGCATGGCGAGTTCTTTAGCAAACACTACTCCGCCCGAAGACACACGTTGGAGTTTGGGCAAGCTTTCGCGCGGCGATATTGACATGTCAGAAGCCTCCGTGGCTCGCGTAGGCGAGATCTGCGACCTCGCGGAGAAGTACGAAGCGCAGGTCTTTGTGGACGAGTGCCACGCCACCGGCTTTCTAGGCGCAATTGACTTGCCACGGTTTGCATCTGGTTTCAATTTCATCCGATGCATCTGGTTTCTGTTTGTTTCTGTGAGTCATGTCGAGATGTGGAGATGTCGCGGACGGCTTTCAAGGGCCCCGCCATTGACTGCGCATGCACGTGCCATGGAGTGGGAGATTCGACCTCGATCCCAAGACCGGGCAGCGCGGTCGCGTGAGGCCATTCTGGCGGATGGCGCCTTGGCATGGGCGGGCATCGTGGGCATGTTTTCCGTTGTATTCCTTTCGTGTTATGAACCAAGGGATTGCTGGCTTCGTGGCGGGAGCTGGTCTGGGCGGCATGTGTGGAGCAGTGAGTCTCATCATGGACCCACGCCAGCGCAGGACGATTTAGCCGACAAGCAAGAATATTTTAGCAGATTTAGCAGCCTGTCCTGTTGCCTTGGCCAGTATTTTGCTCGCTTTCTGCGGTAATCTGTTGCCTCTCGAGGACAGCACATGCACTGCGGGTTCTGCCGCGGGCATCGTTGCTGGTGGGTTCAGCTCTTGCCCTGATGCAAGTTGCGCCAGGCACTCAAAAACGTAATGATGTGATCCGGGTGCCAACGCGCGATTTGTCGACGTCGCTTGGAAGTTGCTTGAGTCTCACTGAGGTTCCTGGAGAATGGACTGCACTTCGGCGCTTGGCATACAAAGCTCTCTCAGCTGTTGAGTCGCCCAGCCGGATTGGTGTCTGGCCAGAGCTGGTCTCCTGACACGAGATGAGGTGGGAACGCATCGACTTGAGGCTCTGAGACAAGCTGCCAAGTTCGCTGCCGTGCAAAGAAGGACATGCACGTGCCGTGAAACGCCTATGGACGCATCCTGGGTGCTTTCTGGTGCTTTCTCACCTCGGCCTTTGGCGGCAATTCGAAGCATTGTGACGCGTATCCGCCACTGCGAGCGGGAGCTCACGACAAATGTGTACAGGGCAACTCGTCACCTTCCTGCACGCTGGCCTTTGCCAGGAAAGACCTCTCGCAGGAGAAAGCAAAAAACAAAGAAGCGAGAGCTGCTGATTGCGAGATGCAGTGGATCGAGGTGCCACGGGCCGTGGCACGCCGGAACTTTGCGGAGTCTCAGGCGAGGTGAAAGCGGTGCAAATAGAATCGGAATACTTGAAATCCGTAACCTTCGAAGAGACTTGGCCAGACCGCGTCGACATTGTCAACAGCACTTTGGGCAAAGCCCTCGGTGGCGCCACCGGAGGCTACACCACAGGACCCAAGGCCGGTGACTTGACTCATTTCGACTCATTTCAGAGACAGCACGCCATGAGCTGCCTGTGAGCTTTCACGCCAGGTCCTCATAGACCTTTTGCGGAACAAAGCGAGGCGTGCAGAGTTTGAGGGGCACGGGCTTCTAACCGCTCAGGACTCAAGCGTGGCATGTTTGTTTCAAGGGGCTGGTCAGCCCCAAAGCCTGAAAGCTTTCAGGCTGTCTCATGAGGTTAGTGAACGGCGCCGCATGCTCACGCACACGTGGCTTGACGGAGGCCGTATTTGTTCTCCAATACGCTGGCACCAGCGGCCAGGATCCCAGTCTCCGCGCTGTGTGTTTTTCTTATTTGTGACCTTGGGCGTCTTTGGCCGCTGTTTCACGGCCTTTGGATGAACCTGCCAAAGGCGCAACAATCAGCCCGGAACCTGCCCCAACCATCACGCCAACTCTAAATTTGCCCCAACCAACCCGGAATCGGCTGTGCCACTTCCCAGGTGGCTGGTGCTTCTTTGGAGGCCCGAGTTGCCGGTCAGAGGGCGGTGTTTATTCACTGGGAACAAAATTAGCAACTCATCGCGATACATTTTGCCGCTGCGACGCAAGACCTCCCAATTTTGCCGCAGGTGTTTAAGATGCTCTCGAACAGCGCGGACTTGCTCAGCCGCTTGCAGGCCTGATGTCCAGACAATCTGCAGCGAGCACAACAAGTGCAGAGTTGAAGCTATGATTGGAGTGCGGAAGGAAATGGTGCCTGTGTCCAACCGTGACGCTGTCGAACCAGTGTCGAGCAATGCTTTTGTCTTTTTCCAACAGCTGAAAGCTTTGGGGTCTCAGCCCAGATAGGCTGCGGGGTTCGGGGCGGCCCTGAAGCGCCACGAGGGTGTCACGAGGTTCCGCGAGGGCTATAAGGAAGCCGTGAAACCACAAGGCAAAATATCTGGCTGGCTTCCAGGAACATGGCCTAGCTTTACTTTACACAAAAAGGCGGCATCCTAAGAAACACCGGCGGTGAGCCATCGGGGCCCGTTGCACTGTCGCGCCCCAATCGGGGCTTAATTGCGCCTTCGAGCCTCTGTCGGGCTCCGATTGTGTCATACCAAGCTAGCATCAACCAACAAATCAAAACATGGGCCTGAACTGCTCAAGCTTTCAGCATGGTAAGTCCCCTGCTTCAACACTGTCGAAGAGGCTGCGCCCGATTGGCCCCGATCGGGGCCGCTGACAGCGTCAGGCCCCGTTGGGCCCCTTCGGCTGAAGCCCCAACAGCTGAAAGCGAGGAGTCTCTGCCCAGATAGGCTCCGGGGTGGTCTGGGGCGTCACTGAGGTAAGGTTCCGCGAGAATTCTGGGAGAGTTCTGCAAGAGCTCTGGGAAGCTTCAGGGGTGGTCCGGGGCGGGCTCCACGAGGGTTTTGCGAGGGTGCTCAGGGCGGCTCCAAGGAGGGTTCCACGACATTTCCGCGAAAGTGCTGGGAGGGCGTGGTGCTGTTGGGGATATCGCCTGAGCTATTTTTTTCCAACATCGAAGCTTTTAAGTATAAAAGCTTCGATAGGCCAATGTGCAGCACTTCCGTTCCTCCATGGCAGCTGCCGGCTTCAAGCTCAGCGGCCACGAGCGTGGGCCTCGGGCAAATCCAAAATTCTCTCGGGGTCAACGGGCGTGTTGATCTAAGGAGCTGCCCCATTGTCCCGGTGATGCTGGGGGATGCACGCCTGGCCAGCGAGATCGCCGACGAGATGCTGAAGCGCGGCATCTATGCAACCCGGCTTATCAGAGACAGCAGAGATTCACATAAGGCAAATGAGCAACACTTTATGAAACGAATTCGACTTGGGCTTTACGAGTTTGGCGTGCGCGGTGCTTTGGTGCTGTGGTGCCTTGTGCCTCAGGTCATTGGCTTCAGCTTCCCTGTGGTGCCCAAGGGCGCGGCGAGGATCCGCGTTCAGATGAGCGCGGCCCACGAGTTCCTCGTCAGAACTTCTGATTTCAAGACGCAATCTACGTGTTGTTTTCGCCTTGGTGCCACATGGAGAGACATGGCCTTGAGAGCGGTGCGCCAAGGCCGCAGCAGGTGCAGCAATGCATCGATGCCTTTGTGGAGGTTGGCAAAGCAAAAGGGGTAATTTGAAAGACAATTCAGCGTGGTGAGTCCCAAGACATCAAATCATTGTTCCAAGACAGCTTCTTAGCTAGTTTTCTTTTGTGTTGCTTACCGCGATGGGACCAACCATCGGATGCTAGCAAAAGGCTGGCCGCTCGGTAAGCTGCTTTGATTCCAACGGTTTGTAGGTTACGGGGTCAAGAGACTTCGTTTGTTGCGTGTTTGCCAGCTAGTTTCAATTGCACTCGAGCCTCGAGTGGAGGGTCTTGTGAGCGTGCCCCGCGGCAAAACTTTAAGTTCACCGGCAGCACCTGAGGATTCTCATTTAGTCCTCATTAAAATTTTAAACTCTCTCTTTGTCTCGACCTCTCTCGTTTAGACTCAATTTGACCGAGAATCCACTGAAGCAGTAGTCGGGCGCGCATGCGCACTGCAAGGGCAGAGCCGCATGGTCGCACTAGGCCCCCTTTTGCAGAGGGGCGAAGAAAGCTTGTGCTAGGCTTCGTCAGTCCTCCATTGGAGGGCGCCGTAGCAAGGAGACTGTTCCGTCCTTCTCATAGAGTTTTGGGGTTTTGGCCGACACAGTACCATGTATGTCCTCGTTGTGGAATTGGAGTTGATTTATTTCTCAAGCCTGGAAGCAAGGACATTGATTCTGCGAAGTTCCGCTTTGGCTCGATTGCCCTCAATGTTTGCATGTGTTACATGAGTCGAGATGTCGAGATGGCGTTTTCAAAGTTGGGAGCCAGGCAAGCCAGAGAGCTGTGCGCAAATGCAAAGAAACACTGGGCATTTGGACAGACTGCTTTCAGCGGAGCCCGGCAATGACATGGCGCCGGAGGCAGGGTGTTCTTTTTGTTTCTCCGTTTATGTCAATTTGATTTGTGAATGGCACATCCCATGCATTCCATGTCTGCACTTCGTCTTCATGGCCTCAGTTGGTTTGAGCTTCTGTCTCCCTGTCCCCTTGGCTTACAACCTGAGGCATGCGGCGCGCTGCTGCGGGACTCTCCGCCCGAGTTGCATGCACTCATCAGGAGCTGAGCAGTGTCTCTGTTTTGTTGCAAAGCCTATTTCAATCGCCACATTTTAGCCGTTTTGTGACCTGCGGACAGAGCTCGGCAGGCGAAGCAGCGGTCTCTCCAACCTTTGCAAGGACAAGACCTGAGACTTGACACGTTTGGAAGAAAGCTGAAGCCGTGAAGCCTAGGACATATTGGAGATGTTGAAGAAGGCAGCTTTTGCAGGACGGCGCGGGGGAGATGGGGGATGCCTCAAGTCTGGGATACTTGAGGAGCCTCCAGCTCACAACGAGGGGCAGGCGAGGCGCTCACTGAACCACGCGCCTTCCGGGCTAGTCCTGGGCCTTTGCAAGGTAACTGACATGAATCTTGCATCCTGGCAACAGGTGGCAAGTCATCACAGCCCTCATACACTTCATCCACAACACAACTGCTCACCTATCTTGGAGCTGGATTCGCCCAGCTAAGCAATGGCAGTCCACAGCCGTGTTACCAATGCCAAACAGAGCTCCAGGTCAGTATGTTAGATGCCCCATGTGCATCCGCAAGAGGATTGCATTTCATTCGGCCGCTTTGGATTTTGTGAATTTCTTCCACTCGTTGCGCAAAGCTCCATGGGATTTTCACCGCAGGTTCAGAGCTTCCAGTTGAACCCGAGGAGCTTGTAGCACCCGCCTCACGGATCATTCGAGATCATTCGAGATCATTCGATCGGTGCAAGTCGCTCGTTTTTTTTGTTTTTTTTTCTCCGAGGCCTTGGGAGAACAAGCTTTGGACCTGGAAGAGATGGAGGCCAGCAGGCCAGCGGTTTGTTTCGTCCCACGGACGGGACTTAGGACAGCATGCTGAAGTGGCCAAACCGAGATGACCGGGCTGCCCACCAGAGGCCACTGATTCTTTCACATGGCGAGCTGCGAGTCTTTCGGCTGGAGTTTGAACTTGCCAGGTTAGTGGAGACCGGCATTGGCTCAGCCCAGGCAGGCGTTGGCGGCTAGACTCCTTGAGTCTGGAGTCGGCAGGCACTGCTCACTGCGCTCCAAGACCGGTCTAGCGGAAAGTGCCCACATGTTTCAACGTTTTGCGAAGGAGTGGGATATCTGAAGGCTCTGTCCAGGTGTCGCTTGAACCAGCTCTTGGAGGAAGCTGGGTGCAAAGGCCTGAAGGCCCGAAGCGAGAAGCGAGACTTTTCGGTCCATCGAAGTCTGTAGGCTGAGGCGGTGGCGTCCTTGTCCGAACAGCTCGAGGCATTCGAATTCGACTTCGAAGACTTCGAAGACTTCGAAGACTTCGAAGACTTCGAAGACTTCGAATTGAAGCGGACGGCTTCAGGTGCGCGCGAGGCAGCGCATTGAGGTGATGGTCGAGGGCCCGCAGCCCGTGCTGCTGACGGCGCGGGAGCAAGATGTGCAAGAGCACGCGGCATTGACAGGTTTCAAGTCGGAAGGCAAGCAAAGGCCACCTAAGGGGAAGCCGTGCCGAATCGCGGGTACTTGTGGTGCCGGGGAGAGCCACAGAGCCACGGGTATGCAGGCACCACACAACATCTACTTGCGACGTGACGGGCAGCCCCCACACATCATGGAGGAGCTGCTTATTTTCTCAGTTGGCAACATCGGGGAGCCGCCTCTTCGGATCCCTGGCTCTAGGAGTACACGACCCTCATAGCACAGCGACTCGCGCGGCAGCTTCGCCATGGCCTTGGAGCTCGCGAGTTGACGGTGCTTGTACCTGCCTTGAGAGGGCCATGGACAACTGCCATCCATCGGAAGTTGCAATGGGCAAGACATGTCTGATCAATGCAACCAGCTGAGGTGGCGCTTGTTTGTCATGGAGCCGTGCAGAGCAGAAGAGGCCTTGGGCTCATCATTTGCTTTTCGGATGTTTTCGGGTTTCCTGTTTCTTTTGCATCTCCGGGTGTCTTCGGGGCATTTCGAGCCTTTGAGCCTTCTAGACTCGAGGTCGGAGCTGCACTGGAGCCTGGCGCGAGTGCGGTGTGGCGAGGAGGCGCAAGTTTGGAGTTCGGCAAAGCCACGCGTTTCCTGCCCAGGGAGACTTCAGCAGCTTCCTCGCCTGCAATCGAGACCCGCAGGGCCCGCAGGTCTCTAAGCCTTGAAGCTTTTGGCCGCCGTTTTGGCGCGCCTAGGAATTACCTTCACACCGAGGAGGTGACGCAGAATCCATGGTTTCGTCAAATGGCAAGGCCAGAGACAGTTGGGTGCTGCGACCCTGGGGCGAATCTGCCTATGGGCCTTTTCCGGTTCGCAGTGCACGAATCCCAACGAGACCTCTCTCAATGGTAGTCAACTTCGGCAAGTGGTTGACTTGGCAGGATTGCTGACCAGTGGCGGCATACAAAGGAGACTCTCTTGCGCTGAGGGGAAGTGAGGCTGAACGACGCCTTGAGATTTGATCGCCGAAAAGAAACCAACCCTTGGCTTTGGTCACAGGTTGGCCTTTATCCGAGAGTTGATCTGGGGAGTTGTGAGGTTTTGGCCCACCAAATATCACTTGGCAGATATGCAGTGTGTAGTACGTGTTTGCTTTACTTGTCCCCCATGAGTATCCAATACGTGCCACTGGCAGTGCCATTGCAGCACATGCTTCTTATTTCAATTGATATGTCTGTTTGATTATGGCAACCCCTGTGGGCCGGCCATGGTGATTTGCCACATTGTGTTTGCATGTGGCTGGTGTCGGCGTGTCAAATGAACCTGTGTTTGCACCTGTCATGCATGTCTGCTTTTTGCATTTGACATGTGGGGTCAATCAAAGACCCCAAATCAGTGCGTTTGTGAGGCTTTTGGTGAGGATGCCATGTTTGTAGTGGAGTATGTTCGGACGCAATGTCGAGGACGGAGGCCTCCGCCCAACGCTTCACATTGATGTCCATGGATGCAGAGACCCGTTGGCTCCTCGTGGGTGTTAGATCCTCAGAAAGAAAGCGAGATGAGGCCGGCCACGCCATCGCACCTGACGGTGGGACTGGCGGCCATGCGCCATGAGGTGCGACTTGCTGCCTTGCTCGTGTTCGCATAGCATCGGCCTTGCATGCCTTGCCTAGCTAGGTGGCGATGGGGCGAAGTCCCCTGTCTCAGGCCCGTGTGGAGGCGTTTGCACAGGCCCTGCAGGCCGGAATTGGGAGCAAGCTGCGCCAGTCAGTTGGTTATAGCTCTGCGCTAAGGCAGAGCTGAACTCCGTTCTGAGCAACCTGGATTTGCGGCCAAGGCATGGGCTTTTCTGTCGCCTATATCCCAAACGTTATCTTTCGGTAAGGTCGCAATTGGTGCGGGTGCTGCTGCCGGCCGGAAAGTCTGGAGGCCGTTGAGACGTTCGGTTGAGAGCAGACGAGTCGGAGTTCGTGTTTCGGCAGACCTGGAGCGCCTCTCCGGCGCTTGGCCACAGGAGGCGCAAGCGAGAAACCGGCGAAGCCGATAGAAGCAACACAGCAAAGTTCGAAGTTCAGGAGCGTCGCCTCACGCAGTCCCAGCAGGCGAGAACTGGGCATTCGCATTGTTTCCGGGTTCGAGTGTGCCCTAGGCAGTGGCGTTTGCCGGGTTCACTCACTCGTGCCAGCTGGAGCTGTCCAAGGCAAGAGAGCTCAGCTCGAAATCGGCGCCGATTTTGTTTTCGCAGGCACTCCGGCGGGCGCTGAGCCGTGATGACGCCGCCACAGGTCGACTGGGCCGTGCTGTCACCAAGGCGCGTGTGCCACAAGTCCGCATTCACCAAACAAGCATCTTGCTGCGTAATCGTTCACTGCTGGTCCGGAGACCAACTCCACACACTTGCAATTGCAGAACGGACAACTGCAGTGTGTTAAGCAAGCAAGCAAGCAAGCAAGCAAGCAAGCAAGCAAGCAAGCAAGCAAGCAAGCAAGCAAGCAAGCAAGCAAGCAAGCAAGCAAGCAAGCAAGCAAGCAAGCAAGCAAGCAAGCAAGCAAGCAAGCAAGCAAGCAAGCAAGCAAGCAAGCAAGCAAGCAAGCAAGCAAGCAAGCAAGCAAGCAAGCAAGCAAGCAAGCAAGCAAGCAAGCAAGCAAGCAAGCAAGCAAGCAAGGCAGCAAGCAAGCAAGCAAGCAAGCAAGCAAGCAAGCAAGCAAGCAAGCAAGCAAGCAAGCAAGCAAGCAAGCAAGCAAGCAAGCAAGCAAGCAACAAGCAAGCAAGCAAGCAAGCAAGCAAGCAAGCAAGCAAGCAAGCAAGCAAGCAAGCAAGCAAGCAAGCAAGCAAGCAAGCAAGCAAGCAAGCAAGCAAGCAAGCAAGCAAGCAAGCAAGCAAGCAAGCAAGCAAGCAAGCAAGCAAGCAAGCAAGCAAGCAAGCAAGCAAGCAAGCAAGCAAGCAAGCAAGCAAGCAAGCAAGCAAGCAAGCAAGCAAGCAAGCAAGCAAGCAAGCAAGCACGTGGGACACAAGCCCAGGCCTGGGCGATGTGTTGTCAGAGCGCTTGTCTGCCCATGCTGCACTGGGCTCAGAGGGGGCTGAGCAGCCGAGATCGTGCCTACAGTTTGACTAGGCGATCTCCCGGCTGTACTGGGAGTCGGAAGCTTAGAGACATCGCTAGACATCGGAGTTTGAAGTGCTCAGGCGACAACGTGCCCGAGGCCTGTGACTTAGTCCCGTTGCATTGCATATCGGGCTCAGCGGGGAGGGCATGGCTTTCCCAGGCGCGGGTGCCTCGCAAAAGGCCGGGGATCGAAGGCCGTACGGCCGTCCAACTTCCAACTTCGAGGCGCGAGAGGCGCTGCCCACCACTGCGGCGAAGCGTGTGAGAAAGGCCCCGAGTCCGGGGCCTCCGGGAAGGGCCAGGACGATTCACCTTGTACAGGAGAGGTCTGCAAAATCGAACCCCGACCTTTCCGACCTCAAACGCTCATTATTTTCAGATCAAATAGGCAGTTTCCAAGTTCAAGGAGAGGACTTTGCAGGACTTCATTTCGTCTAGTTTGTCACACAAGCCTTGGCCAAAGAGCTTTTGCCTTTGATGTGCAAGCGCTCATGGAGACTGGCGCAGCAGTCCCAGACAATGATGCAATCCAGTGCCCCTATTGGACGCCGGAAAAAGATGCTATGCAGGCCGCCAGACATTGATAGATGTCTTGAGCAACGAGCAGATGCCTTTGACCGATCTTGCGACACCTACCTCTCAGATGCAGATGCAGCTGGCGGTGACATTGATATGAGAGCTATGAGTTTGGATTCCCAAAGTCTATACTTTCACGACAGATCCCCAAACAACGCAAACGAAGGAATGAACAATGTCGTGATGCCTGCTCGATGAACAGGGGGCAAAAACGTACGGAACCAGGACTCAGCACAGTTGGGCAGTCGAGCTGCCTGAGTTTGCATTGAACAGGAGCAGATGGCAAAGAGCAGCTCTTCGCCGGCGTGGACTGGAACTTTGTGTTTTCTGCCCAAGCCTCCAAGCTTCCAAGCTCAGCGACAGGACCTGGGCGGCACGACCATCTCCGTGGGAGTGGTGACTGCGCAAGGAGATCTCAAGGGAGTTCTGCAAGCTCCCCAGCCCTTGCCAGCCAGGCCTCTCCCCCTCACCCCTCGCTTGGCTCCACTTGGCTCTGTCTCGATGGACCCATGGACCGGCGAGCCGAGGACCGAGCCGCTGGGCGAAGACCACACCCCGGCGGTCATCGTGTGCCGCATCCGCAGCTTCGTAGAGGCCTTTTCGCTTTGTGCACGGATCGCCTTTTTCTGTTTTTTGCGATTTGCAGTTTTTGACATTTTGTGACGTCTTGCGTCAGAGGATATTATATATATATATATATATATATATATATCAAAATAGCAAAACAAGTCATGTTGCAACTTAGAACTTTTCGTGACATGTGACAGAGGCCGTCCTGCGGAGCATAGACTGCGCGCTGCAGGACCTGCGGGCTTTGGGCGCAAGGAGCCCCAAAGCCTTCGAGCGTCCGTTGGGCCGTCGGGCCGTCGGAATATCAGAGCGTGCATGATACACGAAATATATGCGTGAGACATTATATATATATATATATATGTATTATTTATATTGTTTTGCTATCTATATCTATATCTATATCTATATCTATATGCATATTTGATATGGTACGCCCTCGTCTCTCCCCCCCCCCCCCCCCCCGCCACCCAGTGAGCCTATTTGTCTGTATTTTGGCAACTGTTTTCCCGGATTTGTTGCATGGTGTTGGCCAAAACGGGCACCAAGAAAAGGGCTGTTTGCCATAATTCTAACTTAAGTTTCTGCATATAAAATGCAAGATTGCTGGGGGACTTTTGAGGGAAATCTTGGATCCATGAATGACCTGAAATCTAAGTTCCGGCATTTTGATTTCTCAATACTTGTATTTAGACCCTGTATCCAAGGTCTAAGATTGCTGGGGGACTTTTGAGGGACATTTTGAATGCCCCGCACCCCCCGAAATCTGTGTTTTGTTCACGTGTTGTTTCTTCATAATGCATACGGCCCGAATGGTTGTGTGGCTCAAGTTTTGCAATCCCCCGTCAGTTTGTGTCTGGTATCACTTGCGGGCGCCATACAACGGCAGCCGTCCACTTCATCGGGAAAAGGGTCTCGGTGCTGGGGGCAGCTGGTTGTAGGAGGTACCCGGTGGTGCGTCAGTGCTTGCTGGGCCCGATTGTGAACTTAATCTTCTTTAACTTGATTTCCAAGATCCCCAAACCTCTTCTTTGTCAACCGTCACTTCCTCAACCCGGTCATCATCCACAGCTTCACCCGAGTTGTGTTACCGGGTGCTGTGGGCACTTTGTGATCCACTTTGTGCTCATTTGCTTCCCTGGGCTACTTCGTGTTCGCTCAAAACCGCAGGTTATCAGCCGTACCAGCTAGAAGCTGGGGCTGGTGCGGGACGTGACCCGCTACGCGCTCCCCCTCGCCTACGTGTTCGCACAATGGCGTCCCCTGGAGCTTCGCATCGCGGGCCCGGCTTCGTGGACGACGAGGCCTACGCCCTTCGCGGCAATGCCGCGTGTGCCGCCCCCGGCTTAGACAGCCGGTTGTGGCCCCTTCCCCCGGTGATGGGCGCAGAGCCCAATCCCGGGGTGATCACGGACGGTTGGCTCCTGTCCCAGGTCGTGTTTGATGAGGAAGCGGAGGCCCCTATCCCGGCGGCAGTGCACGACCCCCTCTAGACGAGGTTGTGGTCCCTCCAAATCAGGCACTCCCGTCAATCTCGCCTACTATTCCGTTCGTGGCCTTCCAGATCGAGGACCAGGTGGCTCACCCTGCCGTACACTCCGAGGCTGCTCAATCTTGGTCCCTTACATGGGATCAGTTTGATCAGCTCCTCGGGAGTGGCCCTCAGGCTACTCCAACCGACTTCGATCGCATCGACTTCGATTCGGGTGTCCCTATATCGGTTGGGAAATTGATATTCAATTCCTTTTTGATGCCGATTGGGGATCTCAGCCCTCCGGCCTTCCCGAATTGACAGGCCTTTCGATGTCCTGCCCATGCGTGAGCCTTGAGGATTTCCCTCTTGAAGGTGAGGACGACCCCATTGAAGATTTCTCCCCTTCTCAAGTTGCAGGCTCGGCCCAACCCGGGACGGGCGGCCGGGCAATTGAGGATTGGCCGCAAACAGATGGCTTTCCTCCTGCCTCAGGTTCATCTGATGTTGATCTCATTCATCCCCCAGTCCGGCGGACATGGACTTCATCCCCGATGCAGTATCGTCTTACCTGTCAGGTAGCCGCGATCGGGATGTGGGCCGCTACAACGCTGGTCCAAATCCACTACCATCCTCAGGTACCCAAGATCGGGATGCGAGCCGCTACAACGCAGGCTCAAATCCGCCAAACCCAACCTCAGGTACTCGTGAATCAGATGCGGGCGCGAAACAGCAGGCCCAAATCCGTCCTCCACCTCATCGAGAACCCATGCTGGTCTCTTCGCGGCCTTCAATCGGCGTTCGACTCGAAAAGAGTCCGCCCCTGATGTGATCGACCTCGAGGAGCAGTCCAGCCCTCATGCCAGTGGTGGATCCGAACAGGATTCAATTGGTATTGGATCCACTCCCTTTGATCTTCTCGACATCCCGTTTCATCAACCGCCCAGGAGAGGAAATGAGGATGATGAGACCATCCCTGGAATTCTCGGTATCATCGACGAGGCTGAGATCACGCCTGAGAGGCGCACAACGTCGCTCCCACCGAGCCGCGTTGCCAAGGTTCTTTTGCCGAAGCCCATCACTGACGATGCCGCTCAACGGCTTGATCTTACTCAGCTTGATCATGAGCGAGATCAATTGCGCGGATCATCATCTCTTGGCCTTTCGTCGCACTGACTCACGGGCCACGAAACCTCCTCCTCATCACAATCCTGTTGACGTCCCTCCGATGTCTGAGAAGGACACTGATGACGGGATCATTGCTACGCCCAGGAATCGACGACAGCGGTCTGTCACCGCCGTCCCTGGAAATGGAGGACTCCCATCGAATCCACCGACTGTCAACCCCATCGTTCCCACCTTCTTTCAAATCGGAACTCCGAATTGCACTCCCGACAGGAATGAGGGTGGTCAGGGAGCCAGTGACGCTAACAGCCGTCCGGCACCTGCCAGCTCCGCGAACGCGGGTCATCCTGTCGCCTCTGAACTTCAGCGATTACTTCTCGCGATCCACAACGTGATCAGAGGGTGCAAGGCTGAAATCCAAGGATGCAGAACTGAGATCCGTTCGTGCAGGGATGATATAAGCGCATGCGTTGGCGAGATCAAAAAGATCAACAGCCGCATTGACACCTTCGAGAAAAAGGTCGAGTCATCATTTTCTGCCGTCGCCGGAACGTTCTCGAAACACGAGGCCAAGTTCCGTGAATTCCATGAATGGATCGCTCGGAGCGAGAGGGAGACGAATGAGAGCTTCAAGATGTATGATGAGAGATCTAACTCAGTCATCGTCTCTGCCGCTGGACTCCGCGAGCAAGCCGAATCCCTTGAGAACATCAAGGTTCAGCTCCTTAGGTTCTCCGAGATCGGGGCCCTTGAGGCTGAGATTCGAAGGATCAGCAATGAGGTCGAGGCGAACTCTCGCAGTGTCGTTGACATGGAGGGGACCATCGCAAGGGAAAGAACCATTCGCGGGAACGTCGAAACGTACATTCAACACCTTGTCCCAGCCACTGACTTGAGACAATTTAGTGACCGGATGTCTGGAGCCCTCAACGAGCATTCTCAGAAACACGAGGAGCACAAGCTTCAATTGTCCCGTATTGCTAGATGTGTCAAGGACCTTCACGACAGAAGTCGAGGCCCCAATCCGAAAGACATGCAGGCGCAGTTCATGAAACTAGTGTTGCGGGTCAACGAGATCAACATGCAATTAACCGAATTGAGGGAACGACCTCCTGCTGCCTATGCATCCCCAAGTGGTGGCCCTGCATCGAGCGCCGGAGCGGGATCCTGGGAGAAGTCTGGGGAAACAGATTCCTTAGTCCAAGGGTGAATTCATAGAGGTTCTCCTCCTCGTGCTGCTCGCGTCGCTGACTCTGTGAGGCCTCCTCCCCCGCCTCCTCCTTCTGGACCACCTCCTTCATCACCGTCTGCCCCCGTTTTTGGCAGGGATCCCTCTAGAACAAGGACCGCCACTCGGGCTGCTGACGCTGCCCCTGACAACCGGGCCAGATGTGCTCATGAAGAGCCTGGGCATCCACAGCATCGGGAACCTCGCTATCCATGCCGAAGCTGCGGCAAATCCGTTTGTGAGGACTGCTTTGATCATGATTGCAACTCATGTTTCAAATGTAGCGATCAGTTTCCCCGCTGCAGCACAGAAAGAGGAGGGAGGCATGGTCTTCAAATATGTCTTATATGCAAGGAGGACTACTGCGATCAGCGCATCGCATCACCCGACGAAGTGCGCCGATTTGGGTCGACTGTTCGACCTATTTGTCTTGGATGCCTGAGAGCTGAGGGCAAAGCCAAGCATTGCGGCCAAAATGGCGCTGCTCCTGATCCTGGATCTGGACCATCGCGTGGAGGTCCGTCACATCGGAGCCCTGAGCCACAACAAGGGAACTCGGGTTCCCGCTCCCACACCGGAGCAAGGGCAATGTCACCGCCCATCGTTGGCCGGGCTGCTTCGAGGGGAACCACCGGTACATAGCCAGGGTGTTCTCCTACTGGAGGTGTTATCACCGGACAGGTCGAACATGGAACATCACAGGGAATTATTCGCGGAAGGTACGGATCTGACGCTGCTGTGACAAATCAGCAGACTCTACAGCCAGTTCACGGAATACACGACAACTCCGATGGATCAACTGGGTTCTCTCTTCCCCCTGGCCTCGGTAAGAGTGTACACGGCATCAGTGGTGGCGGCGGCACTGGGGATCCCGATCTTCGTCGATCCTCCGCTGAGGAAAGAGTATGTCCCCGTTGCAACATGAATGTTAAGCGCAACGTCCCCGGAGCACCTCCCTGCTTTCAAACTTGCTCGCTGTGCCGCACATTTTTGTGCGTTGCATGCTGCCCGCCTTCATCGGAGAGCTGTTCACTTTGTGCCATATCCATTGGCAGAGATGGCTTCCTCCCCATGTTTTCGGGCAGGCTACTCGACCGCCTTTATCTTCGCCACCCTCCGAGGCGAACAAATGCGCCAACATAGAGCTCGAAAAAGAGCCTGCGCCGCACGAGCTACGAGACTGGATCATCTCCACTCGAGAAATCGTGAGCAACGCATTCAGCTACGACTCGCCGTACGCCATGTCTTGGGTTATGAGCGTTGAGAACGCAAGCACCATAGAGGAACTTGATGAAGAATGCCTCTATCCGATCCTTGATAACAGATTCAACGCTGCGCTAAGGAAGTGCATTACCTCGAAGCCCATTGTTGCCAAAATCAGCAGGCTAACTGAAGAGGCCCAGGTAAAAAGGGGGACCAGGCTGAA